TCAGCAACCACTCTAAACTTTAAAATTCCCAATTCCCCAGACGATTGGGCAAGTGCCAATTGACCAAGCAGAGATGGGATTGGACTGAACAGACAGACAGGGCAGATAGGATTGCATTTGTTGAAGGTGGTAAAATCGTAAAATTTGAGATGCACGTAGGGTCAGGTACCTAAGCTTCCCTACAAGTGAGGAGCATCTAGAGGTTGCCAACGGACAAATCATGAGTCTTGTAATAGAAGAATGAGTTGTTCATTGTGCGAAGCTGTCTCCATCTCGCGCATTCAACTGCAGACCACTGCACAAAGTAGCTGCATAGCACATCCTTGGCCGCTTCTCAGGACGACTCACGACGAGTAAAATGAGGGGTAACGAGGTCACACTTAACCGTCTTTGGTCTACGGAATACTACTTCGGGAAGGTAATCCCGGTCAAAAATGATCAGGTGCTCGTACCCCAATTTATTCTTCAAATGAGATCCCTGCATAGTGAACACACAATATTCTACCTACATTATTCAACTTCGCAAATTAGCTACTTACTTGCCTTTTGCTTATGATTTTCTATCAATTATCTATCAATTAACTTATAGAACATTTCTATCCCTTCTATGAATCTTTCTAAAGGTTAAAATGTAACCAATTGATTCTTGGTATGGATCAATTGAAGTTTCTACTTGTCGTTTGCTAAGTGGATGAAGATAACCTAGCTCTGCTTTGACCTACAACCCCTAGAGGTCGATCATTGCTACCTAAAATAGGCAATAGACTAAAACTTCACTAAAGCTTATTAGGTTCTCTAGCTGTCTAGCGGCCAAACATCTGGTCTGTGCTTCAAGTGCCGGAGTATAAGCGGCCGTCCCTCGGTCTCTTGAACTTCCTTGTACACAGCAACTTGCATTTGCACTACCTGCATCAATTCAAATCTGACAACATGCAAACCACCTACGTATATTTCCCAGCCTATCACCGGAAGCCCGCATTATAATAGGCCAGGAAGTATAATCAACTACCCGGCGCATATATCTAGGTACGTTTCACGTGGCGAAAAAGAAACGTCAAGAAGCAATGTCTTCCGAGCACGAGCAGCCTCGCCAAGTGAGCCGAGAACTTATTAAGGGAAAATTGCGACCCCCTTCTAAGTCAACCTCTGCCAAATCCTATACTGTTGCGCCAGCATCGATAAACGAGGTCACGGTAAGACAAGCATCTGAAAGAACAGCAATTCGTATGTGTCTACCATCAATGGAACTTGCTATGAGTCTGAGCCCTTGTTTTGACATCGTCTCAGGGGATCCCATCGAGATCTCGTCTGCAGCAACGCCGCAACCATTTGTAGATCCCGCTGTTCTAGACCGACGAAGACGCATCGGCGGCCCGTCTTGAAATCCATTCAGGAGCTTCTAACTTGGAATAGTATCTGAATGGGCTATCACATTATCATGGTCACCTATAAGCGCGTTGAAGACCTGCGGCTATCACAGGACCCGGTTTGGGGGGCAGACCGTGAGGAGAGATGACCCCCAAACTGTCTAGCCGCTACTATCCTCCTCGGATGCACTAGGCCTCATACACGGGTTACGCAATCGTGCTACGCCGAGCCTAGTGTAGGTTACATGTCATATTCAAGTTTCCTAGATATATGACCTATCCGATCCGACTGCAAATTCTAAGCCATTAGGCCACCTCTATGCGGGTTTTATGCAGCCTCTAGACACAGTGCTACGACCGCTGCGGCTAGTTTCATCTTCGGTCAACTTCATTTAGGTACCTAGGTAGGTAGGCTGCATGGTCACATAGGGCGCAACCTTAAAATTGAAGATATCTTCGAAGAGCAGCTCGGGCAGCAATTTTCTCGACTGACAATCTTGTCCGATTTACCTGAAGTACTCGATTTTCTTCCATACCAATGCCAATACACGTCGACTAGAGCGGTTTGCTGGCACAAGCACATTTTCTTGGTATTCACTCACAGGGCGAGTTCGAGTAACACGATTATAATCGAGGAAATCGAGCATGTGCTTCAAATCTCATGTCCGGAGTCGATCCCGGCCTATGGACAACGTGCCGGTCAGTAGTGTAACAAGAATCCGAACTCGTAAGACGTGGTGTTCACGGAGAATGAGAGCTCTATGGTGGTTCAGAGTTGAAAAATAACGGTTATCAATCAAAACCTCCAAAGCCAAGGTGGTGCTAATCATTATTCTTAGGCCAACTGGCAACCCTATTCCGCCAAAGCCCAATTTCAATGATATTAAAATTGACATGAGATGTAATGGTACGAGTGGCGATGATAGCACTGGCTCCATGTGATGAGAAGAGCGGCCGTGTTTTGACATGAATACAACCCATTTCACGGATAGGATCCCCGGGGCTTCGAAACGCACTGTGTAACATCTGTGCCGTGTCTCTGGCCGCATCAGCACAGGACAGCGATGACACCTATTTACGCAGATGTCAGCATTTGATTCTCAATCGTCAGGGCGCGGGCACAATGCTGGATCGAGGAAATCGAGACCATCATAACACCGTGGGCTGGTTTCTGAGTGCTTTCTTTCACAAGGAATCATGACAGTCCAATAAGTGACCCTATAAAGTGCCAAGGACAATATACGTCTTGTCGCCGAGAGCTTCGTCACGCAATAACTCTACCGGCGATGTATGAGCTGAAGTCGTGGCATCCTTGGTCATCCATCCGAATGGTCTCGGGAACGCTTGGTAAGTATCATAGGAGGTGAATAGCACCAGTTCGTATCCGAATCTCCCAGTTTTCACTACAGTAGACTCGATCACTAGCTGGTTCATAGAAATTAACCCTGGCGAAGCTAACTAAAGCCTTTTCTCGTGGCCCCACTTACTACCTATATAACTTCACCAAAAAAGCGCGGCCCTAATCACACTCCATTCAACATCTCCCACACTCATTATTAAAACCATATAAAGGGTAAAACTTTCATCAACCCTTGGTAGTCTAGTTGGTTATGGCGTTCGGCTGTAATTGTCTGATTATTGGTACCGAAAAGTCACCGGTTCGATTCCGGTCCGAGGGATCGCCTTTTTGCCTTTTTGGCCCGTGTATATGTAATGCGCGCTTCATTTTTCATTTTTGTTGGCCTTATGAAAGTTCGGTAAGAGAGAAAGAAAAGAAATATTGCGGCTCGTAGGATCAATATCCCCAAACGTCGCTGGTTTGAGACATTTACATCGACAGTAACGATATACGGTGGGCGGATGGTAGCGCTTGAAAAGGGTGTTTCGTAGTAGATAGCTATGATCAATATGGATCACTTTTTGAACGGTGGTTTTATTCGGTTACATTTCTAGCAGTCGATTGTAACTTTCTTCTTTACTAGAAGTCAATAGGGTTACCACCATCATCCCCCTTTGGTTTATAAGGAGGAGAGGAGCAGGCCAGAAACAGTCCATAACTGGGTTAACTATGAGTTGTCTAAACTAAGTACGCGGAATGTGGCAGAAATGATGCGATTGAAGCAACCCTATATGATCCATGCAGGGTACTCGGGTTGTTATTACGAGATTGACATGAATGGCATTTGTCTAAGTTACCTAGACTGATAAAAGCTACTGCTTGCCTTGGAGATATCGGAAGCACCATTAAAGACATAGGAAATAGAAGAATTACGCGTGCGCCACTACCAACTTGTCTTGACGATATTCCGGAAGCTTCCACCTTTCAATACACATGATGCGGAATCCTGACCTACGAGAGTTCACGATGATTCATTGACCATATGGTACTCATCAGCCGATTATCGAGTCAACCTGAGTGGCTTCCCGGGGCAGCAATAGAAGCACGACAGCAGGACTAGAGGATTTCTTATACAGTACCATGCGAGACTCTGGCCATGTCTCGATAGAGGTAGCCCGGACATCCTAAGTGTCATAGCTGCGCTTCGCTGTACTGTATGTAGTATGTCTAGCTTGACATATACCATCATCAACCTAAAGAACTTTACTTGGCTTTCGTGTGGCCACGTTGCTGCACGTAGCGACAGTAACTATGTACGTAGAGCATGACACTGTTGGATAGTTTCAAGGGATGAATTTATCAAGGCAATGACGTGATAAGAATTAAGAAGCGGCGACGTGTCTTTGTCTTAAGATGCATTGATTGAGACGGCAGGAAGGGGCGAGGTGAGTTTTGAGATCCTTCCACCGGCGGCAAGGCGCACCCGAAACATACCACAACGAACTTATATCGGCTTCAACGTCTGGAAGAAGATTAGACACACCACTGCGGAAGCGCTATGAAAGTTATGGGTTAGGGACGGCGGCGTTGTCACCTTATAAGGCTACGATCCTAGTAGGTTAGCGAAGGAGGGAAAGGATCAAGTAAGAGCGACAGGACAAAATAATCCACAAGCCCGTGCCATTTCTTATATCAATCGCGGCTAGAATCATGGTGATCTTGATGATGCGATGAGCCAAGTTAGATAATGGTGACGTCGAAGGGACTTGTGGGCAGCCATTATTAGAGGTGGAAGTTAAACGACATTGAAGTCGGACTACTCGGCGGTGCCGTATGCTAACGTTTGACCAACATTCGACTTATTCCTAGGTATACATTATAATTGAGGTTAAATCAGGATTAAAATGAATAACAAATATTATAGAAGCATCTTTAGGATAACTTGATGCGAGTGCAATCCTCTAGTCATAGCGCACACGTATCCCGCTTTGGATAAAAAGGGGTCGAAAAAATTCTATAGAGACCGGGATTGGAGTTGAACGAAATGACGAACACTCAGTAGGTATATAACCCGAAATACGGCATGGGTAAAGAAAAAAAGAAAAAGAAAAAGAAAACAGAAAATAGAAAATAAGAATATATGTTGTATAGAAGGTGAGGATAGAATGGGTATAAGACGGGGTCGAACCATTACTCCAACAAGCATGACGACGAAGTAAAACGAACACCAACATAGTAATTATCAAAAATTGCCAAAAGATTTGCGGTATAAGAGGAATCTAACCTCTTAATGCTGGACTCGCGGGGAATCGAACCCCGGACCACTCCCAAGCTTAGAGGGATTCAGATCGGATCGTGAACCTCACCGTTGATAAATCCTCATTGGTGCTAAGGGAGTATTATACCACTAAACCACAAGCCCGGTGTGATAGTTGTTGTTGAAAACCCGAGGTGACTTGGTGGCATATATCCCCAAAATCAAGAAAAAATTGTGCCGGTTAAGTGCCGAGTGGACGATGGAACTTAGCTTGTCCTATGTGGAGAGGAGCGGAGTAAGTTGGGGGTTTGGGAGGTGGTATCGGGACGGAAGATCTTCTTTGGGGGAGATCTTTGGGCACTTGTGCTCTTGGGCTAGCAACAAATTCTGTTTGCCACCCAGGAGAATCGAATACTAGTTATCAACCTTGTTAAATTCGCCGAAGATATAATCCAATCCGAATTGGTGTAGTGGCTAACATTTGACGCTCTCATGGTTCAACGACCTGGCGATCCGTCAAGCCCGGGGTTCGATTCCCCGATTCGGAGATCTTTTTGGCTTCCAAACATAGACATCTAATGATTTTGATCTGTCTTCTTTTTTGGTCAAATTTGGAGAACGCTATCTTGATACCTAAGGCCGTGAAGGGGCTTGGAATACCTCCGCCCAAGCTTTGAGTCAAGAGTCAAGGCGGGGTTGAACGGAATTCAAGTTTGTTCGTTGTCCAGCCAATCTTTAACCCAACATTCCGCAGCAGTTTAAAAAGCCTCTCCATACTATTTTGAGCCTATACAGACGAAAGCTTGCTATGATAACTAGATGATATTGGTAGTACATAATGTAGCTGTAAGATTGACACGAGATGAGAGACAAAGGCATTAGGTAGCTATCGCACATGGTAGCTATGTAGCTACCTATCTTCGATTAGAGCCATAAGCTGTTGGTGGATTTGCAAATCCACTTGGACTCAATCACATGAATTTTTTCTTTATTCAACAGATACTATCCTACTGCAGTTACTGCTAGCATAAGGACGACAAAAGGAATAGCTTCGCAAGTAGCTAGCTTACTACTAGATAGATATCGAACGATGGGTCAGCGGGGTTCTGCTCATTTATATTGGGTATCCTTCGCTGCGTCCTCCACGCGAACCAATAGAGCCTTTTAGCACGTGGTAGATGACGCTACAAGTCGAGATAGCACAGTACTATGTAGATATCGAGCCAGCTGGATTTTCGCCATTTTGGATTGTGCGAAGGAGCCAAGGGAGCTAGCAATGAGTTCATAGCGGAATCGAACTAATTAGCTAACTAGGTAACTAGTAGGAGCGGGAGTTCGAGACCCTACACCAAATCTCGGCAAGATCCTTACTAGACGATCCTATAGCTGACAGGCTGATATCGCAATCGAGTTAGAATACCCGGAGAGCCCCATTCGCGAACCGCAGAATGGCCGATAAGCTAATATTGAAAGAAGCGAATGAGGATTGTGGCGCAAAGAACAGGTTGCTTCCGCTCAGCTGCGATTTGTCACAAAGGTCATAGCTGCTTACGCTCTAGAGCAGTCGCCCCGGCGCTATGGGTCGATTAAACTGTTGAAGACTTAAAAAAAAAAAAAAAAAAAAAGGCTGGTTGCGATGAGAAGACGTGATACGACTACCAGCTTGCATTATCAGACAGCAGCCGCATCTGTTGCTTGTCGGTGCAGATACGAGAAGCAGCCCAAGCTATATTGGCTCTTGCTTGGCCTCGGTCAAAACTGATAATGCACCCACCAAAGTTGCCCGGACGACATACTATATCTTACCATTGCTTAGTGTTCTGCTAAGACTTGTTATCTCGTGAGGAATCCACTAGTCACAACAAAATTTGAGAAAAATAGATAGTAGATCAGATCAATGTAGAAGGTATTCAGCCTCATAGTCGCATTGGAGAACTACCTAAAATATATGATTCATAGAAGTGTCATGTTTCCAACTGTTGGGGGTATTGATTTTTCTCGTGGACGGCATGTAACGTCGACTCTGTCGAGATCCATATCGCAATGTAACGCCATTTAAACTCCGTTGCCGTGCGCCAGATGCAATACGCAATATGCAATGCAGACCTTCCTCTTTCTATCGGTCAAATGCAGTGCAGGTATTGATTGGAGGATCGATAACTCTCAATATCTCAAAAAGATTCTCGGTTAGCGAGTTGCCCCCACCCAAGACGCCAATTGCCCATCGCAATATGCTAAGAACCGCTAGTGGAAAACGCCGGTATTATGCTGTATGTAATGCAGGTGTGTATATTCGTGATAGGTGCTCTGCTGAAAGAAACACCATACCGTCTCATCATCGTCTCTCGTTGTACTTGACCGCCGAGCTTAATGGTTCCTGTGCTTTTCCCATTGCGACCACGACGGTATTTTTGCAGACTCCGTAACTACAGCACTCTTCGGCCGCCATCGCTCCGCTGAGAATCAAATCTCGTTTTGACTAGATGTATGTTAATATAAAATACTATCCTGTGGAACATGGTAGACATACGTCTGGGCAGAGAATGGGTGACGCTTCCACCATAGCTCCGAATAATGAGAGGGCCATGAAGACCGGCAACAACAAATCGAACTGCATTGTAGGTGGTTCTGATAAGTTATTGTTATGAGAAACTGAAGATATTCGAAGACTCTGAGAGGGTCCCGAAGAGTGGCGATGTGGTGATCTTATTATTAGGATGCAGGTTGGAAGGATTGATGTTATTTTAATAGACGAAATCCTTTGACGTCGTGAGATGAAGGGGTGTTCCAAGTTGAGATGTGGCGTAAACCAACACAATTTATGGTATCACAGAAAAGGATCGTACAAGACGGCCCGGTCTCGAGGGGGATGAAGAGCAGCAGTCCATAATATAAGAATCCAACGGATGGATGCCACTAAACTAGAGTGGTGCCAGAGCTCGGATCTTCCTGCACCTCTTTCTGGCCCTATGCGCGCCACCTCAGAGATAGCTTACCATGGTGGGCTACTTACTGTACCTCGTTTACTTGGCAAGAGGATGCGGCTATCGCAGTCTAAACCACAAGATTAGGCACCTAGAGGCTAGTAGACTCAAAAATGACGCGAGCCAGGTAAGCGGCTGAATAGCTGCGAGGGGAGGGAGTTTGTGGTTGTGGCTGGGGCAATGATTTCATTATTAGGAACATGACGAAGGCGGCGATGGCGATAGCGATTTCGATGTGCAGTGCCAAATAACAATAACCACTGCGCAACAACTGTGGCGGGCTGAATTGTTAGGTGAGAGTATGGAACTTGTCATTTCCATGCCAGACTGGGGCTTTGTGGTTCTGGCATTTTCAAGCTTGAACGAATACGGCGCCCCAGCCTAGGCGACTATCGCAAAATTTGCGAGAATTGTTCGTGAAGGTAAAATTAGTGAGGAACAAAAGACACTACTCCAGAACTCGTAATGATATACGAGAAACGGCGCTATGAATATTTTAGCTTGATAGCCTTTCATATGGGGACCCTACGGCTCTACCGAGTGTGCCCATGAAGAAAAAGGGAAGGTTGCAATTCGACAGCAATGCTTGCTGACAGAATGTTTCGAGAAGAAAAAAATAGAAACGAAAACGGGAGCTAGCCTTATTTAGGTGGGTGATGCCCTACTGAGAGGACCGGAAGATTCCAAAGTCCGGAGGAACTAAAAGTGAGGGAGATAATAGGTACCTACGTACCGATGATCACTGGCTTTCAATTTCACATGCAACGAAACAGCTGGTTTATCATAACGTTGCAACTTCTCCCCTTACCTCATTACTGAATAAAGAGGTAGACTTCGCCCTCGATCCTTCCTCCAGAATCTGTTCAAAACTGTCAAGCGCAAGAGGTATCAACTGCTAACTTTTACTTCAAGTTGCATATTTTTGCACTTTATCTGCCATCGGCATCTTTGAAAATGTTCGATTTCATGTTCTCCAGGACAAACAAGGGCGAGGTTTAAGTAATCGTACATCGAAAATAGGTCTCTATGGGATTCCTGTATTCTAACGTCCCTCGCTTTTTGCGCATTATAGTCATTGCAATGGCTCATCATGAAGTTGCTATAAAGTATAGCACCTTACTGTAGGTTTTATGACACTATTCCTATACGAGTACGTCGTGTTTTCATTGACCCAAGACCCTGGACACGTACAAAGTTACGGTACTTGAATTTGCACTTGAAAATATTCTGCAGCAACAAAACTGGGGGAGGACTAAAGGAGATGGAAGTGACCTTCGAAGAAAAGATCAGAGGAAAGAATAAAGAATCGAGGCTGCCATTCGATTGAATACCGCATCATCGAGTAATGTAGGAAGGCGCAACCACTCTGCCACTTTGGTTAGGTAGCTAAAGGTAAAATCCCCATTGAGAAGTGACAGTCAAGTTCTTCTCCTTAACATTATCCATTGTCTTGTCTCATCCGATTCGTCACCTTCGTATCTTACTTCTAGTACTATACTTCGAATATTATACGATAGGATCATGTTAGCCAAAAGAAAGCGGGACGGTTCGGACGAGGAAAAGGAAGAAACCCGACCACGATGTCGCTCTGACTCGACAGACAGTGGAATCCCACGCTATCATTTTTCATCCCTGCTTCCCGACAACGGTTCAGCGCCAGATTATATACCACCATATCTCCCGCCCTTGACAATCCAACTTCCACCTACTTGGACATTTTGGCAACCTGAAGTCGTTCGCTATCCACCTGTGGTATGGCGACCGCAATATCGCTTGCATAACAACTATGGCCGCAGCGGGACCGAGGTGAAACTAATGGACGTATGTTTGGTCAAATTGTATCGCCTTCCGATCCCCTAGCTAATCTACTCAGACCAGAAGTTGTAATGACATTTTTCCGGTTTCCTTTCCATTGGAAGAATATACTCACTGGGACGTGGCGCATATTCCAGACGAGATACTCGCTGATATAGTTATGAATCCACACCGGTCTCCCATTGTGTCTTTTCGATTTGACACCCGAACCACCATCTCACGCATTTCTCCTACCATGGTAGCCAAGTGGGGACCAAATGTTAAATCGGTAGAGCCGGATATGATGTATTATGTTCAGTCCATGGCTGAGATGGAGAAGGCCGTTCCTCTTGTGTACAGGTCTTTGACGGACCGAAGAACTAAATTCTACATTATTGTCATGGAGTACATCGACGGCCATAATATCCTCGACTTATGGGACAGCTATACTGTCGAACTTAAAGCGGAGGCATCCGAAAAGGCCGCCAAACTGGTCGAAAAGATGCAATCTGAAACCTCTCCACGTCCATACCCCGGTCCGATAGGCATAGCTCGTATCAAGACCTTGGTGCACAAAGACTTTCCCATGCCACTCTGCATAGGTAGAGAAAGGTACGAGGATTATATCAACGGTCTCATCAGTCGTCTCAACGAACATCGACCGCGGGCCTAGGAAGCGAAGCCGGTGAAGTCCCTCAATTTTGTTTTGGCAAATATGAATCTGGACCTGAGCAGCTTCATCATTGATAGCCAAAATAACACCCGGATTG